ACATTTTCGGTTAACAAGCTGATGCCCCAGTCCTTCTCATTGGCAATACCAGTATCTAATAATAGAGTAGAGTGAATCAATATCAAGATGCACAATCGCCAACCAAATATGTTATTCTTATTATCATCCATGGAACAAGAACAAACCATTAACTAACAGCAATCTGATTCTGCCTAGTACAACATATTAATATTACTATCTTATATCCTCAAATAGATAGATAGATTGATTGATTGATATGATTACCTCGTTTGGGTGGAGTGTCACGAGATTGTGGACCAGAGTTTCTAGGGGTACAGCGAGGGTAATTTTTCTCTTGTCTGGACAAAAAATGAGATCTGCAGCAATCGACAATAGGCAATAGCAATTAGACAATTGATTCATTATAGACACTAAAATAAAACCCAGCTAGCTACAAAACAAAACCAGCAGAATAGATTTGAAGTTAATAAGGTACTGAGCAGCAGAAGAAGAAGACGAGGACGACGAAGCAAAGAAGGGCAATGCAGCAGAGGCTTGCACTCCAGCTCTAGGAGGCCTTTTCTTCGAATCGAACAGCCACTCTTCCGCCTTCTCGGCGTTCTTTCCGGAGCGAATCGGAACAACCGAGTCTGAGCAGCAGCAACTGATTCGACTGACTCCACGTCGGTCGCCCCGAAGGCTGAACCTCCTCCGCTTCCTCAGCTCCTCTAAGCCGCCATTGCTAGTACTAGGGTGAGGGCGCGGATGGAAAGCGAGGCGGCGGAGCTTGAAATCGAGGTGAGAAGCGAACCCTCTAGAAGTGGCCGCCATTGCACTTACGAAAACGCCATTCTAATTCTCAAGCGGAGGAAGTTGAGGAGTCCTCAGAGAGCTGAGTTGAGGGCTGAGAAAAGAGAGAGAGAGAGAGAGAGAGAGAGAGAGAGAGAGAGTGGGAGTGGTGTTGTGTTGGTGATTGTTTGATTGTTTGATTGTTTGATTGTTTCTTGTAAGTAAGGAAAGGAAACGAAAGGGGAAATAATGAGAGTGGAGAGTGTACTCTCTCTGGTTTTTGGGTCTTGGGGCAACTGATTAATTAATAATAAATAGTAATCTCCTTGTTAATTTATTTACATAGAAACTGAGTAAATTGTATATTTATTTATAAAGAGCTAGCTGCTAGCTAAAGAAGGGAAGGAAGGAGAGGGGGGCCAATCAAAGCATCAGAAGAGAACATCTGAGCCACGGTGGAAGGATTTAGGGCTTTTAATGCAGACAAATTTACTTTTAACGAGATTAACATTGTTTGACCATCCCAACTAATAATATAATGACATTAAAAATAAAAATTACATTTCACTACTTTATTGGTTGAAATAACAAAAAATGTTATTTCCGTTGTATAAAAGTCTTTCTCCTAAAAATGGGATGGGATGCAGCAAAGCCTAGAAGGAGCTCCCCTCTCTCGAGTCCAGCCTCCTCAGCTCTCCTACGAAAAAGGTCGGCAATTTGCGGATGAGATCGGTGGTTGCAACGCATCGCAATCGGCCATGACTCCGCATCGAATCCCGCAATTTAATCTCATCACCGTGACACGTCAGCATGGTGGACCCACTTTGAGTTTCTCTCCCTCCCCCTCCCCCTCATGGCTCTCTGTCTCTCTCACTTTGCCACGTGTTACACGCTGAGCCATCAACTCCTATCTTAAAAATTCAAATCAAATTCATTCCACCTGTGAATTTTATACACACATGTTCGGTGTTCACCTATTTTCAATTTGCACTCATTTATCACATAAAAATATGCGAATAAAAGGTTTTTCTGAAGGATGAAGCATCAATAATATGTTATCATTTTCTATTTTCTCAATTACGTAGCTACTAGTTCATTCAAGGAACGTTGAACCATTTTCAACTATGCATGTTGAGGTGACAATTAAAATTTGAGTTAAAGTTCAGTTGTGCAAATTTTCCTTACTGTCAAAACATGCCATTACCTTTTTTTCATCCTTCTTTTTCTTTTTGGCTCGAGTTTGTTATTGTTTTCCAACTAATTCAATTGAAGGATGTTTCTTCTATAAACAAAAATACGTTTATGCGCACAACTTTTGATATGATTATGGTTATGATTCACTTATCCAGAACAAGATTCAATTTGAAGTTTGGTTTGTTATAAACTCAAACCTCCCTTTTTCTCCACTTACACTCCCTTTTGTTTTTTAATATTTTTTAATTAATTTTGCTCTTTTTTATTCTTCATCTTTCCTATTTTACCCTTGATGACGTGGCAAGTGAGCACTTTGGAGAGGTGCTGATGTGTGAAAAATAATAATAAAGAATTCATTAAAAATAATATTTTTAAACCAAAAAAATATATCCCAAACCCACCCACCCTCTGGTTATCTTCTCTCCTACACACCCACCTTTCCGTCTTCTCTCTCCCCATCTATGTTTCCCCTCTTTCTTCGACCAAAAAAACCTTTCCGAAGGACCTTTTTTATTTCCTTCCTCACTTTTTGTTAGCTTCTCCTCCAGAAACATAACCAAAAGAAGTAAAAGGAATCCAATAACATCAATCATCTATATACTGGTAGCTATAACTAAGATCTTTATACCTTTTCTATCCCTCTTTTTCTCTCTTTCCCCCTCTTTCTTCAACCACCAAATCCAGATCCGGGATTTTTAAAAAAGAGTTTTGGGGTTTGAGTGTGGCTTGGCTATCGGGCGTTTGGGGCTATAAGGTTGTTTGTGGTGATAGGTGCGTTGGGGCAGCGACGGCTATCGGTGGGTGGGTGGCTGTGTGGGGTTGGGTTGAGATGGGAGGAGGAGTAGGGGGTTGACGAAGAGAGGGGGAGAGAGAGGGGGCTGTTGCTGGGGAAAATATTTTGTTTGTTTTTAAAATAATAATTTTAAAGAATTCATCCATCCATTGAAAATGGGGTGTAAGTAAATTAAGTTTTAAAAGATAATAATAATAATATAAAAGTGAAGTGAAAATAAATTACTGTAGGTAAGGGTATAATAGGAATGAGAAAAAATTTTAAAAAACCAAAATTGATTAAAAAATATTTTAAAACAAAAGGGAGTGTAAGTGGTGAAAATGGGAGTGGGAAACTTGCTAATTCCAATTCCCCAACAGCGGATTTTGCCAAGGAAATGGAAATGGAAATCCGTGTTGGGAGAGAAACGTGGCTGCAAGGAGATTGCCCAAACGACAGGAACACTGAATGAATAGGGATAAGCATTCAGAAACGAGGAATTTCCAAGCAGGAGGGAAGGGAAGGATCCGCTCCAATTATCCAATCCAATCCAATCCAATCCAAGCAGCACTAGTCACTCCGAGTCCCTCTCCACTCTACTAGCCCCTAGCCACTAGGCAGAGTAGCTAGTAGTTAGTGGGCACTTGTTTGCCGGGCCACGCGTCAGCAGTTTGCACCATGATGATGATTTGAGTATTCCTGGATAAACTATCTTACGTGTAAAGCAGATCGTGGCAGGTGAGCCGTGGTGAAATGAGTGCCACGTGTCTGGCTGCTACAGCATGTGGGAAAACTTGGATCTCTGTTGGTGCTGTTAGACGAGGAAACCAAACACATATTTGTGATCACGATACAAAGCAGCGAAAGGGCACGTGTTTGGATAAGCTTAGTGTCACTTCGTGAAGAATATTTAGGCGCCAACAAATCTAACTTTGTCTTGGCATGCGTAAGCTTTTGACATTTGGAATTGAGTAATGGTATAAGATTTGTATACAAAATTATTGACAAATGAAGTGGATAACACATTAATTAAAAAATATTAATAAATTATAAATAAAATAAAAAATATTAAATTACTTTTAATTGATGTGGTTGTTCACCTCATCTGCCACATAAGGTAATATGAGAACGTGGTATACAAATGTGACAAGAATAGTGTTATTTAGGGCTGGGCACAGTATGAGATGACACGGGATGGAGGTCATCCCAGTGTCAATCCCGAATAGGGGAATCGGGATGGAAGTTTTTGAAAACACGTTCAAACCATACCGGACCCAAACGGGGTAGGTATGATTCTGTATTAATGTTGATACCGTAAGTTTTCCATAGCAGCAGAAAATGATTAGCAATGTACAAGTATAGGAAACTCTCAAAATCAAATTGAGCATTAGATCCTGATTAGTGCTTCTTAAGGCATTACATAATCAAATAGCAAACACACTCACGAATCAAGTTACATAAGATTCTATAGTCTTAAAGCAAAACTCACTAATGATCAAATGGCTTCAAATAAAATTTAAGATAGTGATGGAAAATACTCAAGATTTGCAGCCTCACACAAGAAAGCAAGGGTTCTTCAATACAAAAATCAAACAGAATTTCAATGGTGGTCAACTATTGCAGACTCAGCTGTTGCAGAGTTAGTATTTAGGTAATCATACAAAATTTCAATACAAAAATCTTGTGCTATTGAAACTAACTATTGCAGACTTAGTATTTAGTCCATGGACAAAAACACATGGCCTTGACAGAGGAAAGGATGCAGAGAAGAAACAAAGAGAAAGATGAGTCGATGAAATATCTGTGGAGGAGAGTAGGTTTGGAACTAAAATTAAATTGGGATTAATAAAAATAATATATTGTTTGGTACGGTATGGCACCAACCGGGATCACAAATGTGAAAACAATGCCATGCCAAACAGTAACGGGATGACACGGTATCATCCCGTTTACACGTCAACACCAAACGGGACGGCATGAAATTGGCACGGTTTGACACGGTTTCGATATTCCGGTTTTGATGCCCACTCCTAGTGTTATTCATTGAAATTTGAACACCAACTCATAAACCAAACAAAAAATCCACTTCAACAGTCTCCCCCGAGTTTGACATTACAAGTTTTTCCGTTATGGGGTAAGATTAGAGGCCTTAGCCTCTGCAAAGAAAAAGAAAATTGTAAGCATATGATCTTCTTGGCTTAGCCCGGCCTGCAATCTCAACTTTGAGAAGCTCCAAAATCGAAGCAGAGAGGTAACAAGGTTTTCGCAAGAGGCTCGGTAAACATTTGCCACATGAATCACTGATTCGTTTTTCTTAATTCTTGCCCAATCGATTAAGAAAGGAAATCAATCTTTAAATAAATAAAATAATAATAATAATAATAATAAAAAACCCCCCTAGTCTAAGGAGGAATTGTACTCGACGCATAAATGCCAGTCCATCTCACAACATTTGCCCTGCCTCTTTTGCAGTTTTGTATTCACAGCACCCAAATTTCTGTTGATGTTTGAATCGGAATAACATATATTGTTGTCATGTGAGGCACGTAATCACGGAGTATATAGTACACTCAAAAAATCTGGAACTAAAATCTGATCATTCAGAAGAGTTTTCGTGGTCTGCTTTAGTGATTTATCTACTAAAAACGAGACGAGATGAGAGGCAAACAAGGATATCTAGAATCACGCACACCAAGTAGACCCATCATAGCAATCGACCAGTGTGCCAAACCTTATTTCCTTGAGAGAAATGGTTTCACTGATTCTACAACTACCTGTTTTCCATGGAAAAGAAGGAATTTACATTAATCAGACTCAGTTCAAATGGTCCTGCGACAAGATGCCTCATTTGATGCATATGCAAATTGAAATTGAAACTGGCGTCATTCAACATGAAAAATTAATAGAATTTAGTGTTACTAGTGTTCTTACCCTCCCATCATAGGATAATGATGCAAAGATCCAAGGCTCGCGAGAGCTCCAAGCAAGGCCTGTAGTGTCAAGTAAAAATATTTAGTTTATGATAAAAGTTCAGGTATATGCCTAGGGAGTTGCAGCAATTACCGTAAATACTATCTTCATAGTCGCTGTAAGAGTTCAGCAATGGGTCAATCCGCCTAGTTGGTGAATCAACCAAGCTGCCAAAAACATGATAAGAACGACCGGTATAATCAAAGAATGTAATTAGTCAGTGCAAAAAGTATTCATAGAACATCGGGGGAAGAAAACTACCTTTCAGATATTGAGCCATCCTTGCTAGATGGAGAAGCCAACCACAGGTTGACAGTTGAGTCTGTACCGGAACTCTGCAATAACATATTTTTATCAGAAAAGCTTCAATTTAATAAAGCATGTAAAGCAAGGTTTTTAGTCTCCTCAACAAAGTCAACATGTCCAGAGAAAGAGAGAGAACAAACCAAAATCAGCCCATCATACTCAGGGTTATACCTGACAGCCCACGTCCTGGAAACATTTCAATGGGTAACAATCAGAGCATAAGTTTGCAAGTATTGAAACTTCTTCAGCACAAGTATGAGCATCCCAAAATTTTTGAACCATACACTGATACACAAGGGCATGGTTGAAGAGACCAAAATGCAACAGTACACAAAATAGTTACCAGTGTGTGTGTCCAGGAAGTTCCTGGATAGGGAACTTCGGCTTCCTAAGATCCCATATGCGTATCCCAGATTCATCTTCTGCAGTCATCTGTAAAAGTGTTAACAATTTGCGGTATAGTAAAGGAACAAAAGGTAGTGATATGCTGTCATGTTGATAAATGAAAAAAAAACACTTCGTCTTGACTTGGAAGATACAAATGTATCATGTAAATCCTTGTTTGGGTGAAAATGTTCCAACGTCATTTTACTAATATTAATATCCATACAAAGTTGGAAGAAGATATATTTCTTATGAGCTGAAAAGTACTGTTACTCATTTTCTATGCAACACAACAAACTACTAATCCATGTCTTTGTGTGAGTGCATGTGTACAGACATGCAAATTATGTGAACATGAGCATACTCAGAGAATGGATAGAAAACTACAATCTTACAAGCACATGTTTCTTCTTGGGGTTATAATCAACATTTCGGACATGAGCATGCTCAACTGAATTTGTCTTCCTGCATATAAACAAGTGCTATTATTGATCAAGAAAGGATATTGATGCCAAAACCTCAAACAAGTAACAGCCCCTTAAATAGTTTCCTTCATTCTTGGTTGATATAAAATCTAATTTGCAAGATGATGAGGCAGTCCATATAGCAGTATGGCAGTACCATGGTAGCCATTCGTACAAAATCCTTAGTTTGAGCTATTTCATTGAAGACACAATTCACATGCCAAAGACAACATGTTGTGACTATCAATTGGAACATTAGTTTGTAAGAAACACTTGGCAATACTTTTGGTTCATTATAAATTTCCTCTGTTGAGAATCAATACAAAACACAAAGCCTGGAGTTGCAAATGACTAAGGATACTGTCTAAAACAAAAGCTATTCGACTTATGTGCTGAATTTACCAAACAGAAAAAATGAGGAAAGAATAAATGCTTCAAACACACACTCGACTTTTTAAGTTTTGGACATTCATGTTGGTCCTGATTAACAAATAAAAGCAATGCAATTACATAGTATCAAAAGAAAACACACTTCATTGTCCGCAAATCCCAAAACTGGATGGATGATTCACAAGTTGCTGCAACAGCATTCATATCATGAGGATCCCATGCACCACCAGATAAGTAGTGCATGACGCCAGCAGACTCCTGTGATTGTACCTGGACCCGGAAACAAGACCTAAATAAGAATCAGTCTGAAATTCAAAGTGATACTCCATCAACTACTAAGGCTTTTGTAGGAAAAGCTTTTAAGGTCTTAAAAAGCCCATTAGGTTTCTTATGGTAACAAGACTGAATACAAAAATTGTGTGTGTGTGTGTGAGAGAGAGAGAGAGAGAGAGGACAAATGTCCTGTCTTTTTTCCTCCCCCAGTTCCTCAATCATATCCATATTTTCTCCTTCTACAGTTCATGCAAAAGTAAATTTTGATGAAGGAGGAATCATATTAATTTCAAATCTAGGAAAGAGACAGAACTTATCCATAAACATATACTATAACTGCAGATGATTGACACGAGATCTCGTCATGAATTTCATTATAAAAATACCTGAGCAGCTTTTTTGGATAAATCTAAGCTCCACAAGGACAGATTTTCTTCATCAATGCTGATCAGCTTATCATGTCTTCCAGATGGCCACCAAAGAATGCTGTTCAATGCATATATGCATTGAATAAGAGAGCCACAGAACAACATGCTAGGATCAATGACTCCAACAGAGGATACACAGTTCATACCAAACTAAATCTCAAAACAAATAAGACGAGTTTAAGCTCAAGTTATATTCCAAGAAGTTATAATAATATAACACATGTTACCACAATAGCACACGAGTTACTTCAAAAGTGTACATGATCCAAGAGCATTACATGAACATCTTCCGTTTAAGCATATTATAAATGATTTTGTACCTTAAAACTTAATTATTAGAAGCAATGATTTATTAGTAGTCCTTTCAGTTTCATTCAATATTTTTACACACTGAAATATACAAATTAAGAAAAAAGATAAAACTGAAATTCATGAAACGCAATTGAGAAATTAAATTTGCCCAGGGATAGACGAGGGTAAGCATACTGACCATTTAATCTTGCCAACTTGTGAGTCAAGGGAGGTAATTCTTTCCAACTGAGGGGAATTCAGTTCACCATATAACTCGGGGATCTGCCATATTGCTGCTCCATATGACTCACCTTCAAGCACATTGAACTTTATATAAAGAAAACAATCCCAATGTCCGACATTCCGGATTTCAAGAGAATTGAAAGAAAAAAAAATATATAGAAAAGATAAATTAACAGATGACGATTTCTAGTTATCATTTTTAGAATAAACATATAGAGCAATGAGAAAAATAAAAGAGCAAACCATCCAATTAATAGTGGAAATATGCAATCAAAGTATTTTGGCGGATATACTCACTCAAAAACGAAAAAAGAAAAAAGAAGACCAAAAAGCTTCGTTGAAAGGTTAAAAGATATCAGGGGAAATACGACTCAAACACTCAAGCAGCCGTCGTTGTTCATATTTGGATTTCAGCTATGCTATTGACAAGCTTATCCTAATGGGTTCAAATACCAAATTATGAAGCAATCAAATTCCCAATTCCGACTTTATGGACCACAGAACCACAATACATGATCCAGCTTTATGCATTACTAACAAATCATTCACAATATGGCAATGCATACGCATCAGGTTGAGCGCCAATCATATTGCAGCAACACAAAAGGTGGGACAAACAAACAAATACATAAATAAATAATAAGAAAAGAAAAATGGAGAATAAATCACCTGTAGAATAAACAGTAGAGAAGATGCGCTGGTCGAAGGGACAGGAAGCAAGGTCCCAGATCTCGTTGGGGTGCGAAAACAAACCCTCGCATACGAGTTCGGTTCCATCCGAAGAGAGCCGAATCAAATGCACCTATTAAATTTCAATCCCATTCATTAGATTAAAAGATCCAGATCCAAAATACAAACTCCCATTTTATATATTTATTTATAAAATTTGTGGAAGACGAAGAAGGTGAACCTCATTTTCTTCTTTGAGACTGAGAGTGCCGGTGATGAAGCTAGTATGATCTGTGTCGGCTTTAACATCTGATATACATCTAGCCTGGACCTCTCAGAACACCGGGATAGAGTTACAATCAGAAATTCAGAATCAGAGGGTTTATGAATTTGGGAAAGGACAAAAAGAAGAAGAATGGAATTCACCTGGTATTTCAGACCATATCCGATGCCCGACGATCCTCCTTGCATGGCTGCTGCTACTGCTGCTGCTGCACTGCCTGATTATACCACCACAATCTTTGTGGACTTGTTGCATGCAACCCAACCCCGCGCTTACAACACCGACTGACACAGAGTGATTCCTGCATTTCACAACGGCCAATTACCAAAACAAATACCTTCCATTTTTTATTTTTTTTCATTATTTCATATTCCATTGTGGGCTAATTCGTAAAACCAACGTAGAAGCCCAACATAAAATGTTCAAAGTTTTGTTCCGTGTTTAAGTCAAACCAAAGCCCGACAAGCAGAAAACATTTGTAAGCCCAGAGCCCAACAAGACACACTAGCATCAAGTAAAAGACCAAGATAACCCACCCAAAGGAGAATTAAAAGAAAAGAAAAAACGCTAGGTCAAACATAAACAGCAGGCCTCTGCAGGACAAAGGACCTCTGAGTTGCTTATACTCTTCAAACCTTTTACTTTTCCTCTCTAAAGAAATACTTACAGGACCTATGAGTTGGATATTGATCGTCTATTTCCATGTAAAGAGATGCTCTTCCTTCTTGCAAATTGCTATATAATACATGTGCAAAAATAATTTATCAATAACACAAAAATAAAAAATTATACACACATGTCGCATTACTATTAGTAGGGATGTTGTCTCATGCAACGGTGATAAAATATTTTGCTATTTCCGTCCAATAACATAGTGATACATTAGATAATTTTTTTATGTATCATGATATTATGAATTGAAAATAACAAAATAATGTTATCCCCGTTCTTTTTCTCTACTTAAGTAGTTTTCTAAAATAAAACTACTATCTCTGGCCAATATTTATTTAGTTAAAAAAAACCAATTCTTTCATTTAACATGGAAAAAAGGAGCATTGAAATCATCGAATATCACATAATTATCCTCTAAACCTCATGTGACTCACACCAAAAGTCCTTGCCATCTTCCTTCACACCCAAAAGAGAGTTTGGGAAAGGAAAAAGGAAATAAAAAAATTGTGGTTAAAGTTCAGTTGAGGAGTAAACCCAAAGTCACCCAATTTTCTCTTTGTGCGCGAATTGGGTGGGAATGGAAAAAATTGGATCCAAAATCATCAACAAGAGAAGGAGGAGGTAAAGAGGAGTTCCTTGAGCCTCAGAGAATGATGGCCAATTATTTCACAAAATGGTTTTCCGATCTTCATTGGCGGCTACTTCTGTTAGTCGTCCCTCCCCTCTTTTTTATCGTCTTCCTCTCACTCTCATCTTCTTCTTCGTACTCTCCCACCAATTTCCCCTTATCTCCGTTTGCTCCCATTCGATCTTTCCTTCGCGGCCGTGCCTTCCTGTTCCAGCAGCCGCCCCTCAACATAACAACCCTAAACACTCTCAATTCTACAACTAGTGAGTCCAATCGGAATCGGACCGACGAGTCGTTGAAGAAGCGCAAGGATGACGATTTGCATCGGTCCAGAATAGCCGTCTGTTTGGTTGGTGGGGCCCGGAGGTTCGAGCTAACTGGGCCGTCCATTGTCGACAAGATTCTAAACCAATATCCGAATTCCGATCTTTTTCTGCACAGCCCTATGGACCCCAACGCCTTCAAGTTCTCGCTCCTCAAGGCCGCGCCTAGGATCGCCTCCGTCAGAATCTTCCACCCCAAACCCATGCTCGAGACTGAGTTCCAGCTCCGAGTCCTAACCGCTCACAACTCGCCCAATGGCATTCAGGTTTTCTTTCTCAATTCTTGTCACCTTTTTTCTTTTCTTTTTCTTTTTTTTCCTCAAAAAATTATAATAAATATTTACGTGATTAATATTTGATTTATGATAGTTTTGGTATGTATCTGAATCTGATGAACAAAGACAAAGTAACGATGAATTAATTTTGGTTCGTTGACCTAAAGCCACAAAGAAACGAACGTGTCTAATCGTCGTATCTGTTGCTTTTGTAAATGGGAATTGGGAATAACGTGTTTGCATTTGTTTCTTCTTACTGCCGTTTTAGTTGTCTATTCCCAGCTACCGTAGCCATTTTTAAAGTAAAATTTGAAACTTGTTTTTTTTTTCTTTTTTCTCCACCAAATAATTCAAAAGTGTTTCGCACACTTACCAATTTAAATGTTTCAATAAAGTCGTATAAGGTCACTGTTCCTCTTTTTTTTTAAAGTTAGGAATTTGTTATATATTTTTAATCTCCACTTTTGAATTGCGTTTAAGAGACTATCAATACTTGAATGCGCAATCAAGGGCCAAAATTAGAATCACGTAACCGATGTATGTGCTTGTGTCTTTTATCTTAATTTCTGGGTCATGTGTTGGCAATGTGTATGCAGGGCCTTTTGCAATACTTCCACCTGGTGGAAGGCTGCCTAACTATGATCCAAGCATACCAAAAACAAAACAACTTCAGCTACGACTGGATAATCCGAACCCGAGTGGACGGCTACTGGAACGCCCCGCTCCACCCTAAACACTTTGTGCGGGGACAGTACGTGGTCCCTCCGGGCTCAAGCTTCGGCGGACTCAACGACCGCTTCGGAGTTGGTGACCTCAACAGCTCCATAGTCGCCCTGTCGCGCCTCTCCCTCATTGCCAAACTCGACGCCGATAGGTTTCGCCAACTCAACTCGGAAACCTCCTTCAAGGCCCAACTCACCACCCAAGGGGTGCCATACGTCACTAAACGACTCCCCTTTTGTATCGTAACGGACCGCCAATACGGCTTCCCACCAAGCCGTTTCGGAGTGCCTGTAGCGTCGTTGTCAAGCCCAGGCCCATTGAGCGGAGCCAAGTGCAGGCCCTGCAGGCCTGTGTGTCAAGGCCCCTGCGTAGCGGATGTGATGCTTAGCCTGCACAGAGGGTGGAGCTGGACCCCCTGGGCCAACGGCACTCTCCAGCTTTGTGATGCCCATGGCACATGGGAAAAGGGTTGGGAGACCACATTTGACCGAGTTGCTGGCCAGAAATTCGCTGCCGAGCGAAAGCGAGTTTTGGGGTTGACGGTGAAGCAGTGCATTGATGATTTCAACCAAATGAAAAACAAAACTGCTAACTGGGAGGCACCGCCAGTGGACGAGATTTGTAGCATTGAGGTGCTTGCGCCACCCCACTGAACAAAGAACCGGCTCGGGAACTTTTTCTCTTTTTTTTTTTTTTTTCTAATAGGTAAACAAAAAGAGTGGCAGAGATAGGGGAAAGAAATATATAGAGAATAATTTTGGATTCGTAAATTCTCTTATTTTAATGATATAGAATATTGTTAGGACAGAGCATCTCTACTACTCTACATGTGCTTAACAATTCAAAACTTATACAACTTACGATGTGATTAGTTTTTTTGAATGGAATCTTGGTATTTCTTAGTCTCTGTCTTGTGTTTTCTTGGGTTTAAGGCTTGAAGCCAAAAAAAATACTTTTTTTGTGGAGAATTTCCGATGGCCGGGAAATATCTATCTTCCTGGGACGCCTCAGTCAGTGGCACAGAAGCCCTTCGCCACTTACAATTTCGCCACTTATAATATGGTAAATGGCTCAGTACCCTTTGCGTGTGGCCCAATCAAAAGGCTGTTCGCGTTGGGCCCAATAAAAAAGGTCATGGTAAAATGGCTACAACTTAAACACATAAACCAAAACAACAAAAAGCACTAGTATGAGTGTGACTGTGTAGTGGTTCTTCAAGTACAAGTTTAGAAAATTTATTTATTTATTTTACATGGAAATGGAAATGGAAAGAGGGGTAAATTGAACTATATAGTAGGCAGATACAGTGCAATATATTGATATTGTACTAATTACTGAATATAGGTTTGGCCAGTGATATCAAGGTCTTGGTCGCCGGTGGATGGTGGGGGTGGATGCTTGCGGGGTTGGGTGGTGGCTTCATCAGGTCCGTCAGCACTCTGCGTCTCACTGGCCGGTGGCTTATTGGCTTTTGGTTTTGCCGCAATTTCAGTTTCACCCTCGTCTCTACCGTACATTCCACCACCGTAGGCTTCGTATGTTAGTGGCTTCATCCTTGATCCCTCTTCCTTCTCTTTCTGCTTTACCTCCTCCCTTCTCTGCTTCTCCCTCTCCTCTTCCACTTTTTGATGATGATCATCATCCATTATTATTAATTCAGCAAATCAAATCTTTCTATCTACTCACTAGCTAATCTCTCTACTTACTTGAAATCGATATATATAGAACCACATATATGACCTATACTCCACGGCGCCGTTATTGATACGTGTCTGGTTTAATGGTGAAGTGGCAAAAAAGTGAGCTGCCAAATGTCATCCATGCATGCATAGTACTAGTACTAGTACTAAAAAACAGGAACAGCTGAGACTGATCAGAGTGCACAACTTATCCTCATCGTCTATTTTCTTAATTTCCTCAACCTCATCATCATAACACATTTTCCGCCATTCTACATCATTCATTCTTTCTTTTGTGCCAGTTGATATATTCTTTAATTTGTATATATAATAATAATAACAATAAGCTCATCTCTAGCTTATAAATTATATTGCCCCCAAATAATTCTCCCTTGAAAAGTTGGATTGGACGCTAATAAATAATAATAGACAGCCCAATCCAATCATAATTTTGGTTGGCATAAGCTGAGTCAAAACATACGTAGTGGTAATCTCATTCATTATTATATTCGTTACTGTTGAGCACCGTCAACCACCCTAAACCTCAACCATCCTCTCTCCCTTTCATTACAATTTACGTGCAATACCAAACCCTATATTATATATATATATATATATAT